AGCGGAAGGCAGCTCGCACTAGTCCCGGTCTGCTGGCTTTGGAGCTGGCGCACAGAGGCGCCCGGGCAGAGGTGGAATCGGAGCCCAGGGCTCACTGGGCAGCACTGCTCCCTAGGCTCTCTACCCGCTGGGGGTTGTGTTGGCCTGGCTGGCTGGCAGCAGGCCAGGCAGACACCCCTGCAGCCCAGCAGAGGCGGGGGGGCCGGGGCAGGAAAGCCCTGCAGCTGAGGGCTGGAGCAAAGCTGGGCCCTGACTCCATCTGGGCCTAGATGAGCTCCCGCCGCCTCTTCAGCTCCAGGCTCCCCTTCATGCCCGCCCCCTCCTGGCTGAGGCCAAAGAGGCGTGTGGGGGTGTAAGGCAGCTGCACTCAGGGCCCGAGCCTTGGCAGGACTGCGGTGCTAGCCCTGTGACCCAGGCCCCACGCCCTGCCCTATGGAGGCTGTGGGTTGTGACGTGGCAGTGCTTCGTCCCGCTGTGCGCAGGCGCCAGGGAGTCCGGGCTGCGGGCCTTCCATCGCGCTCGGGGGATTTTCCAGGGCGTACAGCTGAGCGTTGACCCGTGTGCAGGGGGCTTAGTTCCCCCTCCGGCTTGGGGACGATCTCTGCTGCGCCTTCCCGCTCAGGCCAGGCACACGCTGGCTGGAGAAGCTAAGCTGCGTTGCCTACGAGCGGCAGCCTGGCCGTGTGGCCGGAGGGAGCGTGGGCCTGTTGCGGTGGAGGGCACTTTGAAGGGGGTAGTTACGGAAGCTGCTGTCTGGGAGGCGCATGCAGCCGGGAGCCAGCCTGCAGCCCGATCGACAGGTGGGAATTGCCCGGCGGGAGCCAGACTCCCCTGTAGTGGTGAGCGAGCAGGCCAGGCGTGTGGCAGAGGCTGATTGTGCCGTGGTTATGGCAGAGCCCACTGGCTGCATTCAGTGGGTCTAACTGCCGGGCGTTTCCCCTCCTGGCAGGTTCAAACTGGACCCTTCGGTGAGTCTCGCTGGGGTCCTCGAGCAGTGCCCCGCACAGCTGACGGGCGCAGATCTGTACGCGCTCTGCGCAGACGCCATGATGGGCGCCGTCAAACGGAAGGTGGACTGGATCGAGGAAGGTAGGAACCCGGCGCTGCGTGGAGGTCAAAGTCGCGGGAGAGGAGCTGAACCCCCAGCCCGTGAGAGGGGAGTGATGCGGAACCAGACCCGGGGGCTTCCCCGAGAGGCTGGAAGGGCAGCGAGCTGTGTGGGATGGTGGGGAAGGGTGTTCGGGAGGGGGCACCAGAGGGGTCGGGTCTCTTCACCCGTGGGCGTTTTGGGGACATTCACGAGGGATACCGAGCTGGGGGAATTGCACACGCCAAGGCCAGCGGAAGCCGTGGAGAGGCACCATTGTCCATTAGTTAGAGCCGTGGCCTGGGAGCTAGGAACCCCCGTGTCCAAATCCCAGCTCCATCACGCAGCTCAAGGCACCGCAGCGTCCGTCTGTGGGACGGGAGCATCGGCGCGGCCTGTCTGCCCCGTCTGCCCCAGCCTCCGCCTCCAGGATCCGACTCCTCGGGGGCTGCTGCGTTTCCCAGTGTTATCAACAGGCTGTAGGGAAGAGGGGCCGCGGGAGACAATAAACCACGAGCCTGAGGCTGAAAATGCTCTAGCCAGGGACAGGGGGGCCAGGCGCCAGCCTGTGGGGCGAGCCCGGGACCAGCCTTCCTGACTGGCCGAAGCGCAGGCAGCAAACAGCCAGTGGGAGGGCACCTGGCCTTGGCTGTGCTTGGTCACCTGGCGATGGGCGTTTTCTCCCTCCGGCCAATTGCTCTTGTACCACCCGTCAACAGGCCTTATGTAACGAGGCTGGAGATGGACTCTGCCCTGCCCTCCTGGCGCTCGCTGGCTTGTTTGTTCCCGCTCTCCGGCACAAGGCCGCCGCGCACTCATGGGTTGGCACCGGGCTCTGAGAACAGTCCCGTTCTCAGTTTCCGCAAAAGGTTTTTTTGCCCAAAATCCGGCCAATTGCTCTTGTACCACCCGTCAACAGGCCTTATGTAACGAGGCTGGAGATGGACTCTGCCCTGCCCTCCTGGCGCTCGCTGGCTTGTTTGTTCCCGCTCTCCGGCACAAGGCCGCCGCGCACTCATGGGTTGGCACCGGGCTCTGAGAACAGTCCCGTTCTCAGTTTCCGCAAAAGGTTTTTTTGCCCAAAATGGACCTTCGGAAGAGAATATGCAAATGAAGTGCGCGAAGTTGCTAATGAGCGCTTCGTTTGCATCGCCTCTTCCGCAGAAAAGAGGCAGCATAGGTGTAGTGCACGTGGGGAATAACATGTTCTGGGCACCAAAGCAGGTGCAAATGTGCACCCCCCGTAGAAACACAGCCCTCGCTGCGGGCGCCCTGCTGATCAGCTGTGCAGCTCTAGTGGCCGCACGAGTGCCCGGCTTACAGGGAGCCTAGGAGGTGGTCTCTGCGCTCTGCTGTTGCCCCCCTTTGTGCTTGTCACCCGCCACTCTGCACCTTCTCCCTGGGGAAGGCTAACGTGGAAAGGGCGGCTGGCGAGAGGCACGAGCTGTCCCCTGCGCGCTCTGGCAGGCAGGCAGCACCCGTGTGGATGGGGCCGGGGGGTTCAGAGGTTTGCTGGCTCTCAGCATTCCACAGTCACTCAGCTCCTCCCCCCAAGGCCTGGGCTGTAAGAAAACGAGCTGGAGGATTCTCGTTTGTTTCTGATTTCGGAGCCTGCAGGCAGCACTGGTGCCAGGGTTTCAGGCTGTTCTCCACAGCCACGATGGCTAGAAATCAGAGCGGAGTCGCCCGTACGCACGGGCTACGTCCACACTGCAGGCTTTCTGCGCAAGCACGGCCATTCTTGTGCAAAAACTTGTGAAGCGGCCTACACTGCACACATGTTCTTGTGCAAGTAAATGTACAAAAGCATCAGAACAGAGGGCTTCTTGCACAAGAGTTATTCCCCTCCCCATGAGGAACAAGCCCTCTTGTGCAAGAAGACCGTGTGGACGTGCAACAGGGGTTTCGTGCGCAACAAAGCCCTGTGGCTAAAATGGCCATCGGGGCTTTCTTGCACAAGAGAGTGTCCACGCTGCCATGGACACTCTTGCACAAAAGCACATGGACACGCTGTTCCGTAAGAGCTTTTGCACAAGAACTCTTGTGCGAAACAGTTCTTGCACAAGAAGCCTGCAGTGTAGACATAGCCACCGAGTTCCGGAATACGGGGCTCCGGGACCTCCCCCTGCCAGTCACGGCAGGACGCCCTTTGCCCTCTGGGGAAGTGTCCCATCCCCCCGCAAGGCAGATTCCTAGGCTGGGTGGCTTCTGTTAAGCCACGATTCTGAATGGGAGAGAATGTCTGGAGGCAGAGTGCAGGCAATAGGGGAACCTTTACCAACTGGTGCCGAGTCAGGTCTTGCCTGGCCCGGGGCAGCTCCCCATGTGCCTCTGCTCCCCAGGGCTGGACACGGAGAGTTCGGATCTCGTCGTGACCATGGAGGACTTTGGACAAGCGGCCCGGAGGCTGCAGCCGTCCGTGTCGGAACAGGAGCTGCTCCGCTACAGCGCCGTCCAGCAGAAGTGTGCTGCCCGCTAGTGGGATGGGGGAGCTGCAGCTGCTGCGGCGCGGTCCGAGCGGCAGACGGGTCGGCGCCGCCTGGCCCCCCTTCGTGGACGTGGCACAGCAGTTAGCCATGGAGCTGAGGCTGGCGGCAGCCACGCTGGGGGTCGCGCTCCTCTTCCTCCTACCTGCGCCACAGCCTGGCCCCTCCCTGCCACGCCTACATCCCCCCTGTGGAGCTGGTGGATGAGGCAGGCGCGTTGCAGTGGGGAGAGGAACACGGGGCAGAGGAAACGCCCGAGCCCTGGAAGACCCTGCACGGGTCCCGGATTGTCCTGTGACCCCTCCCGCGGGATGGCTCTGGGCCCAGGCGTGCTTTGTCCCCTCCCCCTCCCCAGAGCTGCCCTGGGGCAGGTGAAGTAGCAGCTGCCTTAGTCTCAGGCTTGGGGGTGACTCGGTGCAGGAAATGGCCTCCCAGCAGAAGCTGGGCTGGACCCTGTGCTCTGTATGGACTGTGCTCCCCAGGGCTCTTTCCCCTCTCTCCATGGGTGGGATCCCCCCCAGCAACTGCTTGTCCCTGGGCTGTGAGCCATGGTGCAGCAGGGCGGGTGGCTCCCTGGGCGCGGGTGCAGGGAAGCTGGGAGCAGCAGCGGGGCGCTGTCACCTCGAAGAGGGCGTGTGGCAGGGAGCCCAGGGGAGCGGGACAGTTCTGGGAAGAGGCGAGGAGGGGGAGGGGGGCCATGGGGGCTTTGTAAGTATCAGAACTGGGCCCTGTCGAGCAGCTACGCCTGACGCCCCCGCGTGGTCCCAGGGCCTGTCCCGAGGAGCGGGGCTGTACGGGTTTGGGGGGAGATTCACTCCCCTCTCGCTGGGTACAAGCCCAGCATGATCCCTGGCCCATTGGAGGGTGGGGGGGGCGCTCCTGCCGCCTGCGAGGCCTGCACGTGGCACTGTAGCCAGATGGGCAGGGGGGGGGCCTGCTGCCTGCTCCCCGTCCCTCGGGCAGCCAGGAACAGGGCAGGGAGGCTGTGGGGGCCTGAGACGCATGGGTCACCCAAGAGGCTGTTGGAAGGTTTGAGCACAGGCACTACACAGGGAAGCGGCGCAGTGTGAGGGGCTGACCGGCCCTGGCTGTAAATACTGTACAGGGGCTTTCTAAATAAAGGGGAGAGCCTGCTCGTCTTGGCCACGTCTGGGCACTTATTGACCCGGCGGCCGCGTCTGGCTTCAGCAGGGGTCAGGCGTCCCAGGGAGCGTGCGGAGTCAGCCTGTGCCCTCCTGCCAAGCCCTGCTCCATGGCGCTGCCCCCAGGGGGCCCTGGCCAAGGGAGCTGGGGGGGAGCTTGGGTCTGTGCCCAGCAGCTCCCCTCAGAGCACAGCAGGCCCCAGCTTGCCAGCTCTTAGCTGCCTTTCTCGGAGCTGGCGCCCAGCAGCCTCCCCTTGGGGTGCCTGACTCCCTGGTGCTGGGCTGCCAGGGAGAGGAGCCCCAGGGGTAGTGTGCTGGGCACAGCCCTTGAGAGTGGCCCAGATGCTGCCCTGGGCAGGGGCTGGGCTGTGCTGCACCCACCCCTCCCTGTGAGGAGTAGGCTGCCCTCCCCCTGCCCCCATGAGCAGCGCCTGCCATTCTCCCCAGCCCTGCCTGGGGCTGACCCTGGCCAAGTGCGCGCCACCATCCCCGTCGTTCCCACAGCACCACTGTGGGTAGCTCAGCACCCTGCCCGGGGGCAGGATCTCAGGGCCAGGGCCTGGGCCAGCAGCTGCCTTCCCAGGCCAGGTCCGAGCTGTTGGCAGGCAAGGCCTGGAGCGGCCGCCCTGCTCTATTTGACACCCAGGGGTGGGTGGGTGGCAGCCGGCCCACTTCTAAAGGCCCCTCCCCCAGCCTTGCAGAGGGACGACTAGCCCTGGGGAGCAACTAATTCCGGGGGACACAATGAGCCCCACGGTCATGGGCTGCGGGTCACAAGGGACCTGGCCACGGAGCAGAGACCCCCGGCCAGTGCCCACTGCCCCGCAAGGCTGTCACTGGAGCCCGCGCCCAGAGGAGCTCTGCCCGGACACGCAGCCAGGGAGGAACAGAAACCGGCTGGCCGTGGTTTCCCCACCGTGAGCCTTACGCCATCCGCGTGCTGCCCCTGGGCCAGCCGTGCTGCGCCGCCCCCTTCACAGGGTGTTGGGGGACCTGCCCACAGACCCCCCTCCCGGCCAGGGAGCCTGACACTAGAGCAGGCCGCTTGCCCAGGGGGTGAAACGTTCCAGCAGCTGCTAGCCCCTGGGCCAGGGCCTCACCCTTCCTCCTTCCCAGAGCAACCCCGCTCTCCCAGCCGCCTGGGCTGCAGGGGAGGGAGTGTCATGCTGTGCCCGGAAGGGGGCAGGCCCTGGGCCCATAGAGCTGGGTGGTTCACAGAGGCCCTGCTGCCCTGGCTCCACAACTGCACTTCCACGACACCCTGCTTAGGACCCTGCTGCCCCGTGGGGGTGGGGGGCAGA